AAATTACTGTTTCCCCAAAAATCAGCTGGTGGAGCTGTCAGGGACCCCAGAGTGGTTGACGTGGCTCCGGCTGCTCTGTGAAGGAGCTGCGTGAGCATTTTAAACCCAACATTGTGCCGTGGCTTAAAAGGGCAGCCCTGCCTCCTGGTTTGTACCTGGTCATGGCCGGCCAAGCCAGTTTGCTATTACACTGTTAATTTGTCCGTTGCTCCTCAGTGGCTTATTTTTTTTTCAGATGGGGAGATTCCAGGGAGGCCAGTAAACCACACTTCCATTTCCCTGGGAGTCAAGGACTCCAGGCGTGTGAGTGAAAGTAGCTGGCAGAGTGAGACTTTCAGTTCCTCTTAGGGGAGGTTTGGTTTGTTGTGTTTACCAGTCTGAAGTAGGTTTGATGTTAAATGGCGCCAGTTTGGGATCTGAACTTATTTTTTGTGGCCTTACATTTTAGAACCCAGATGATAAGTGGCATTATAATGGTAAAGTGGCGTGGTGGGTTTCTGTATTGTGTGAACTTCAAGGGCTTACTTAAATAACATTTTCCAAGTTTTAATATTGCTAATGTGGAGACACGGTATGCGCTAGGTTTGGTAGCACTTCAAACAGGAGAGCAAAATACAGCAGTGAAAGGATTGATCCTGTTCTTGAACCCTTAACGTGCGCTGCAGAGCACCTGTTTAATTTGAAGTTTGCGGCAAAGGAACTCAACAGGAACTCAAAAAAATGCGACAAAGAAGAAAAGGCTGAGAAAGCTAAAATTAAGAAGGTAAGCGGTGGGTCTGAACCAAGCTCTTTAGATCTGCTCTTTACATATTGTAGCAGGAGAATATCTGGTGTTTTTTACCATCTTCCTGGTATGTGTGCTAATAATATTGTGATAGATGCTCGTGATTTAAAAGATACGGCTATAAATCTTCCCAAAATTATTAATAAATCTGAAGACCCATTCTTGGGCTTATGGAGAGGAGCTTAAAATGGCTTTTGAGTCCTTGAAGTAATGAAGAGAGAGACTAAATTTATTTGGCTGTATTTTTGTTCATGAAATACAACCATACCAACTGTGTCTGTGTTTGGGTCTAAATACTGAAAATGTTTTTAGGAGTGGGAAAATTATGTTTCTGTAGCTCTGTAAAACCTCCTACCTAAAGCGTGTGCTGGTTACCTTCCTTGGAAAGAAGTTAGGGGTTCACATCTTGAAAAGCTTTGAGAAATCTTGGGGGATAAGGGAGAGGTTTATTTTCTCTTTTAATGGAAAAGATTTTGTGATGAATTGATGCTTATTTCAAAAATGAAACTGGCTATTCAGAATCATGTTTAAAAGAACAGAGAAGGTTAAAATACTTTTTCCCTTTTTTTTTTTTTTTTTTTTTTTTTAAAAAGCAAATTAAAAAGGGCAACAGGGAGGCCGTCCTTGAAGTAATGAAGAGAGAGACTAAATTTATTTGGCTGTATTTTTGTTCATGAAATACAACCATACCAACTGTGTCTGTGTTTGGGTCTAAATACTGAAAATGTTTTTAGGAGTGGGAAAATTATGTTTCTGTAGCTCTGTAAAACCTCCTACCTAAAGCGTGTGCTGGTTACCTTCCTTGGAAAGAAGTTAGGGGTTCACATCTTGAAAAGCTTTGAGAAATCTTGGGGGATAAGGGAGAGGTTTATTTTCTCTTTTAATGGAAAAGATTTTGTGATGAATTGATGCTTATTTCAAAAATGAAACTGGCTATTCAGAATCATGTTTAAAAGAACAGAGAAGGTTAAAATACTTTTTCCTTTTTTTTTTTTTTTTCTTTTTTCAACAGGCAATTCAGAAGGGCAACATGGAAGTCGCACGAATACACGCGGAAAATGCAATCCGCCAGAAGAATCAAGCCATCAATTTCTTGCGCATGAGTGCCAGGGTAGATGCTGTAGCAGCAAGAGTTCAGACCGCGGTGACAATGGGCAAGGTAAGTCTGTTTTCTCAATTCCGTTGCAAGGATGAGACCTCTGATCTTCTTAGGGGTGACAGAATTCTATCTATAATGAGCTGAAAAGTTGTGGGTTTGGTTTGAGATGTAGCCAAAAATAAATTCAGTGCTGGAATTCCCCTGGCAGCCGCTCTTTAGAAATAGATTGCTATCCAGTGTGGTTTGTAGCTGCTGACTTCGTGAGCTGTTACTATTCATGCTCCTAAGGATGCAGTGTGTTTTGCTGGTTACACTGTTAAGATTATTTTACAAAGATACTGCTCCACTTCCAAATACGTAAAGTCATGATGTAGGATGTGGGATTCCAGAAATCTTTTTTAGCTCTGCTTCTGCTTCTCTCCGCGGCCAGAGAGTTTATTCTGCCATGTGATCTATATACCAATTATATCCCTTAACATTTGACAGGTTTCAAGACCTACTGAAGTTAATGCCATATGCACCTCAGTTTTAGTGCATTTCAGCTCAGAATGCGTATGTCAAGTGTTTGAGTTAATTTATAGAATTCAAAATGATGTGAGCTATAAAAAACAACCCAGTGGTGTTCTAGATGGCAATAGCATGTGCCCTGCTATTTGTTACTGTAGAAACTTTGTGGGTAGTGATGAGAGAGCTTGGTAAGAAACTGCTTGGGGTTTTTTTTTCTTTTGCAATAACTTCCTTTGCCTCTTTTCAGGTAACAAAGTCGATGGCAGGGGTAGTTAAGTCTATGGATGCCACGCTGAAGAGCATGAACCTGGAAAAGGTAAATAGACTTGCTTTTCTTGGAGGTGCACATCAAAAGCAGGAAGGGCAACGGACGCGTGTTTTGAACAGGGAAATTCCAAACATGAGAGAAGGTTTTGCTGTGAGGTTGGTAGGTGCTGGAACAGGTTGCCCAATGAGGTTGTGAAGTCCTCGGAAATGGAGATGCTCAGAACTTGACTGGGCAGGGCCCTGACCAACCTGCTTGAGCCGCAGTGTGAGATCAGCTTCAGGGCTGATGCTGGGAGCGGGACAAGCTTCGGACCTCCAGAAGCTGCTTGCAGCTTTCAATGTAGTGTGATTCTGTTTTTGCCAGTTAAGATATATTTCTCTTCCTTCTGCAGCTCATTGATTTGATTAATTTTTTTTAATAGATATCTGCACTAATGGATAAATTCGAGCATCAATTTGAAACACTAGATGTTCAGACACAACAGATGGAAGACACAATGAGCAACACTACTACGCTAACAACGCCACAAGTAAGAATAGTAAATTTTTTTTTTTTACAAAAGGTGATCTTAAATAATGTGTCAGACCTGTGTGAAAACATCTGAATCTCTTCTTTCTGCCTGCTTTGTGACACAGCAGCAACTGGAGGCTTTTCACTTTTGCTTTGTGCTTCTTTGTGATGAAGAGACTGTTTCAAATTACAAGCACGAGTACAGAGGATCACCTATATGTGCATTAGTCTATATTTCACTGTTATATAGCAGGCTTTATTTCATATTATATCTTGAAAACTTTAACCCTCCCGCTGAATAAGCAGAATTTTGCTGAGTTCTTGATGAACTGAACCAGAAGACACCGCAGCATTAATTATCAAAGCAGAATCTGATGTGAGAAAATCTATAGTTCTAACTCGCCGATACTAACAAAACGACATTAGTCACCACCAAATGAGCAGTACTACGTGCAGTGGAAAGGTGGTTAATTACCTATTTTCAATTTATGGACGTGTGTTTACTAAAATACATTCTTAAACAGTGCTTTACATAGTAAGAATTCCTAGCAGCTGTCCCCTTGTGCTACTCCACAAGGGGCGAAACGTGCTATTCCAACAGAAGTTTTCTCAGAAATTACTGGAGATAGTGCATTGTAAGTTAAATAAACAAACCCAAATCCAATAAACCAAATCTGTTGGAGATGGGCTTTTCTCTAGGTTGCGCAGAGCAGTGTTGTAGTAGTTAATAATCAGCAGTTGATAGCATTTAAAATATTCAAGTATACATTTGGTTTTTTACAGATAACTTCTTTAGAAGCATGATTTCAGAAGCTAGAGTCCAATTAATGGGAGTTTAACAGGCTGAGCACCTCTACCTGGTACTTTTGAGTTCATACAGGGCCCTCTGGTGGTTAAGCACAAAAATGTTCTGTGAAAGATGTGTACCTTTAAATCAGTTTTGTTAAAGTAATGCCCGTTCTCTCAAGATTTAACAGAAGAGCTTGTCATAAACTACAATACGCAGCAATCAGTTTTGTTTTCTTTATCCTAGAACCAAGTGGATATGCTTCTACAGGAAATGGCAGATGAAGCAGGGTAGGTAAAATTTTGAGTGACTATTTCGCGAATGAATCTTGGTTCCAACAACCCTTCCTGGTTAACTCGAAAGTTCAATACCCACGTTTTATATGTGTCTGCCCCTTGGAAACAGAGAAGAATCACTGTTTTCCTTTCACCTTTGGGTGTCATTCCTGTAATAGTTTAGTTGCCAGGATTTCATTCTGTTTTCACTCAAAGCTACTGGGAGTGTCAAGATGCAGGGGTGGTTGTGCAAAAGCCTAAAATCGTATGTCACATGTCAGGATAGCACATTGTTATTTACTTGGATGGGCTTTAGCATGAGCAGTCCTTGCCATGTTTCTCCACACTTTTCCTCTAATTTTTTTTTTTCCCCTCTTGCCACATAAAACTTCCTGTAGTTCTGCTCTCACAAGCCAGACAGCGCAAAACAGGTCATCATGACATACTTAAGCCTTTGGGCTATACTGAAATATTTCAGAGAATTTTACTTGTCTTGGTGATGCCTAAGTTGGAAGTGTCATTCTGTTGGCTTGAGGATAGATACTGTTGACAAATTTTTTTAGTAAAACTTTTTTTATGAGTGAAGTTTTTGTCATTCATATGTATGCCATGTCTGATATCCCTCTGATAAACAGAAATCTTGCTCAATCCTGATTAAGCAGAATGTATTTGGCTATTGCTAGTTACAATATATGACTTGTTTTCTTGGTAGTGAGTCAGATTCACTGATCAAGTTGTCCAGTTAGCTGGAATACAGCCTTTGTGGGATGCTGGTGGCCTCACGCTATCTCAGTATTGCTCTGCTTGTCAGTTATTGTGCCGCTTCCTTCAGCCACATTTGCCTGACTTGTTTTGTTTTGTTTTCTCCTGTTAGTCTTGATCTGAACATGGAACTACCTCAAGGACAGACAGGTTCTGTTGGTACAAGCGTTGCCTCAGCAGAACAGGTAAACGTTGGATTCAATTGCAATCACTGTTTTCTAGAGAAATGTGGTATGAGAATTAATGCTTCACTCAGTCAAAACAGGCTTCCTAAATTGTAATTAGATTTTAGCTGCCCAAAAAAAATAGTGTGTACTTAAAACAGTCTTGCAATCAGAATAATTTTAACAGTACATTTGTCTGCTTAGTAAATCCAGAAAGTTTAGGTGTTTCAGATGTATTTTTGCATAGTTATTTCATAGAGTTCCAAGCAGTTGACTCTCCTACCTACTCCAAATGTAATGAATCCAGCCATCTCCCATAGCGTACATGAGAGGAGGCCTTTGGGGTTTTTTCCCTTTAATGGGTGAAAGGTCTTACAGGGCTAGTGCAAAGGATCCCACATTTGCTGTAGGCTGGTAGCTTAGAATTTCATGTGCATGGGCAGATCCTGATGTCAAGGTTGCACAGATCTTTTGGTGAGTTGCTTTTCCCATTCTACGGGAAGATAATTGAGGGAATGGAAGAGGAGAACAGTTTATTGCTGTCATCCCATCTTTGTGGCGAAGGCTTTAGGGAACCTCATCTTAACTGAACAATGTTTGGGAAGCCCCAAGTATTCCATGTTCTTTGAACAGTTCAGTTTCACCTTGCAGCAGGCCCTCTGAAACAACTGGACCTACTGCTCTTTTGCTGTAGCAGTTCAGCTGGATACCAGCCTTGGTCAGTCAGGGCTGCGTCCAGATAAGGGTGCAGTTCTGTAAGAGCTGATTTGCACTTGCAAAGATGATACATTAAAAAAAAAAACAAAAACCAAAACCAAAAAGAAACCCCAAACCCAACCCTATCTCTACTTGCTGTGTTCTGAAACTCCTTCCTAGGTACCCCCTGCTAAAGAGAAGATGGCTGTATGGACCTCTGGTCTCACCTGGTACAGCCATTCCTGAGGTCTTAAGCAAATTGTTAAGGCTTGTACATGAGATAATTTCATATCATCCAGACATGAAATTGCTTGACCATTGCAGAACTTTGCAAAAATTAGATTTTCATATTCCTGATAGCTGGTTTCTTTGTGTTTTACAATTCTGCAGGATGAGCTGTCACAGAGACTGGCCCGCCTACGTGATCAAGTTTAAGTTAAACAAAGCTGCAGTTCTTTGTACGTGCTTTCAAAATACCCTGTCTGTAACTAACCCTTCACTACACTAGAAAGGTGTATACAGTATGGCTTAGGTGTTTGAATATTTGTAATATAGGGTACTTCACTCCTAGCTTGCTGCTCTTTCTAAATACATAAAGTAACCCAAAAGTATCAGCTCTCTAATGTCCTTTTCTGTACATTTTGAAGTTGATATATTTTTCGCAAGCTTTTTTCACAAAATCAAGTTGATATTCAAAGTCAGCGAGTAATGTTGGTACATTCTAGCTACAAGAAAAGCAGAGTGTCATTGATATATATTTTAAATTATGAAGTGATTTTTTTAAATTATGAGAACTGTTTATGGTTGGAGAACTGATGTGTTCAGTTCAGATGACTGTTGCAGACAACTTTCTTACACAGCCAAACTCCGGGAACACGCAGAGGCCAACAGTGTGGACTTCATGGAACATACGTTTGTTAAATAAGTGGACTTCAGTCGGGGTTTTTTAGTCTTTTAAAGCTAGGGTAATTGTGCTGAAATGAGTTGTTTCAGTTAAGAAATGAGTTACCAAAAGCTGTTTTCGTATAATTGGGAACTTGTACAGTGTCATCACTTTAGTACAGGAGGAATAAAATACATTTTTCAACTCTCTGTCAGTTCTGTTGAATGTTGCAGCTTGCGTGTTTAATGTCAAGTGCTGTAGCTTCTCTGTTTTGCTTTCTTCTCGGTATCCTGGGCTGCAGCCAGTTATGCCGCGCGCCTCAATTTCTACCAACGTAACATCTAGTTCCTGTTAATAGGGAAGTCGTGCTATCCGTTTATTTTTATTTTTTTTTTTAGGCTCAGGCTGAGAAGCCTTACATGAAGTAACTGAAGCCTGGTTTTCTCCATCCCTTCTCACCCTATCTTTGCTTTTTCTCTAGTCACTTTTTTATACGTAAAGGCAAGTCTCCTGCTCGTATTCCACGCTTCGATGTTCTTCCATGTATGAGAAATACAGAAGTGCTCTTCCTCAGGTTCAGATCTTCACAGTCCTCCTTCACGAATCAAGGTCCCAACCCTTAGGGCTTCTTCGGACTCCCTTAGGTCAGCTTTTCCTCCTCCACCCCACGCGACAGGCGAGTAGTGGATGAGTCGAGCCGGCCAGCTCAGTCGAAGGGGCAAGCTGCTAGATGTAGCCTCAGCTGTGTTGGACTGAGAAGGGCTACTTCATTTTGTAACGGGGTAATATTGCTCTCTGCAGATAAAGTAACATGATTTGTAATATTGCAGCCGCGTGGAGAAGCTGGTTTGTCTTAGTGATCCCTTTAACCCGTTACATTTCTGCACAGCGAGAGGGGAATCTACCGGCTGCTTTCGGTAGCTTCAAACTCTGGCTGCAGTTGTGAAGTTAAGAAATGGTTGTAGAAATTTGTAGCTGAGGCTACTTGTGAGGTGTTGTGATAAACAGTGGTGTTAAAATCTCCTTTCTGACTTTTTGGGCTTGTGTTTTTGTCTTAACCTTTGCAGGGGTGAGGGAAGGCGTGAAGCACTAGGCTTAGAATTAGCTCTTAATTCTCTGGTGTTCAGGATCACGTGGGGGTTCCGGTGTTGGGGAAAAATTTAAGAAAAAAATTACTTTGTTTTTTTTAGTCAAGCAGGATTTTTTCAGTGAAAACATGCAAATATGATTAAACATTTCAGAGCGGTTTCAAACGAGATTTAGAATGTGTTATTCAAATAGCTTTGAAGGTTTAGCAGGATGTTACATAGTGAAGTGTTCAAGGCTACTGTTAAGATATGGAAATAAGATAGACAAAACAACCTCAAATGTTGTGGAATTGTGTATCTCACACTGGCAGCCTAAACAAAACCAATTTGTTTAAAATGTGGTCTTTTCACTTGTTTATGTTTCTTTTTGATGCAGCTTTCTTTAAACATCTTGAATGTTCCTCCTGTAAGGAGGAGAAATTGGAAGATGTTTCAAAACCATGTATTCGCATCGGTAGTCTTGGTACAATCCTTGCAGACTTAATAAAACATCTTAGGAAAAGGACTAAATACTGCATTTTCTTTTTTCTCCCTAGCTCCTTCTGAACAGTATAGCAAAACCAAAATGCTAAATCTATGCAACCAGGTTACCCACAGCTGTGGTAACCGCGTGTGTGCGTGCCTTTGCCTTGCTGAACTTACTTCATTTTTTTTTTGATATTCAGTTACTTCGTGTTGTGATAGGATTGGAAACTTACGGTTGAGTAGTAAATCCACATCTTGAGTTTACGTTGTGGTTGCTTGTTGGTGGAGCTGTGCCATAAAGAACTGAGGTTTTCAGTGTTTGATACCGGACGACTTCAGCTGGCTTGTCTGGCTTCTTTTAATGTTGAAGATTATGTTGCTTTTAGACTGTTCCTGGCCATTCTTAAACGTTTCGAGGGGATAGATGGCAATTCTGAGCCCCGTGGGTTTGATTTGCTGAGTGTGTTGCCTTGCCGTGAGCCTTGGGGCTTTGGAGGAATTTAAAAATAAAGGGAGATGAGACTGATTGGGTTGCTGCAAGGTAAAGGTTAAATAAGTTTCTCTTGCTGGCCGTACACAGCCTGTTTTGTAGTTCTGGTCTTATCCCAGGCTTGGTAACTCCAGTACCAGAATAGATTTCCAGTATCATTTTTTTAAAGGGATTACCAAGTAAATGTAAAGGCTTGATTGACATAATTAACGTTACCTCTGCGGGACCACGATGCAGAGAGGCAGGCAGGCTTTGCTGGCTTGGGGAAGAAATCGCGTGTTCAAAACGATGCATTCTTGCCCTGCTGACTTCCCTCTCTGAGAATTGCTGCGTAGTTCAGCGGGGCCAGGATTTTGTGTTGGTTACTTCTGTGTACAAATCTCCTGCCCTCTCCTGGGGAAGGGGATTCCTTTTCTCTTTAGAAGCACTTGCGTATGAGAGCTGGCATTTGGAAATGTTAACAGTTGCATTTCAAGTGTTTATATTTTTCTCAAGTCTGTTGGAAATGCCTAAAACTGAAAGTTACTCTTTCAGCAATATTTGAGTTTCATATCCTCCCTCCGTTCCGGCTCTCCTCAAAACGTTTGCGTTCCCGAAGACTCTGGCTCTCACCCCTACCTTGGTAGTGTTTCTTGTAAGTTGACTTGTTGGTGTTTGTAGAAGCTCATTTCATGTTAAATAAATTATATACCCTTCTTACCAGACAATAAATCAATATTTATGCTTACGGACACATCTAAAGGGAAACATTGTTTGAAATGTTGCCAGATGGTTTTGCTCGATGTTTGTTTTATTTTTTCCCTTGGTTACTAAAGCGGCTGCTGTATGGTGGCGTTAATCTTCATCCATTTGAATTCCAAACCTGAAAGCCATGAAGAGCCTTGGATGAAAGGAGAGGGAAGGAAAGGAAGAACAAGAACTTTTAACTTTCTCGGATTGCAGTGAGATAAATGATGAAGTTGCCTTTGTGGAGGCCCTCAGAGCCAAAAAAGTAGTGAAATTTTGTTAAATCTAATCAGCAACTGTGTACAAAATAAATTCTGAAGCTGGTGACATGTATAGAGAAGAGAATAATTTTTGTAGCTCTGGTAGAGTTCATTTGGAAAACTGCTTTACTCGTATGGGACAATTTGTAAATGTAACTGCAAGTGGTAAATAAAATTGTACAGACAAATTATTTCCGATGTGTTCCGAGGTCTTGTGGCTGCTTGCTGGCGGGGCCCAGTACACGGATAAACAAGCAGATGTCAGAATGGCATCAATATTTTCCCATGAGAAGGTAATCAGAAAATTAAATCTCTATGCAGACAACATAAGAAGAAAGTAAAGTGGGTACTATTGAGGATTTGGGACAACAGTTCAGGGAGTAATTAAGATTAAATATAACAACATAAGATATAACCTACTTAAAATGTTACGGGTTTTTTTTCAATGTTTAGTCTGGTATGGAGCGTATCCCTCATGCTTAAACACTGAAGAGGCTTTTCTGTCCTTACCAGGTACAATGAGGGGTCCTGTGGAAAACTGATGGGAGATGGTGCGGTTTTGAGTTTGTCCTCCCCAGAGCTAAAACCCTTCCTTTTTTTTTTATTTCCCCTTTCCATTGTTTGGGAACCAGCAGAGGGAGCCTTGAGCTTTGTTTTTGTGTAGGTCCTACATATATATTTTTTTTTTCATTTTTGTTATTATTAATTCTTAGAGGACTTTCAGAGTCCTCACTAGCTGCTTTAAGGAACTGTCGCCCCTCTGGAACCTCTGTTTCTGGACAGTATCAAAGCTCGGTGGGACGTGCCCGTGAAGGGGGTTTGATCCTTGCCTAAAAGCTGCTCCGTTGCACAAAATGCAACCTGGAAACACATCACAGAGGGCCAGCAGCTGATTTGTGTCAGCATCCAACCATCTTCGCTAAATGCACTTCAAAATACTTCTTTGCTGTCTTTGGGAATTAATTTGGGACTTGGAGATCTACTCTTGGGAGCACGATAGGGAATAACCTTGTGCTTAAAACTGGTTGTAAATTGTTTCGGTTTTGGTTAAGTCCTCTTGGGTTTCTTTAGCTGTTGTGGTGGTTGGGGTTTTTTTTTGTCCTGTAACGATAATTCTTTTTTATACAGAAGGAAACACGCACTGCCTGCTGATGGAAAATGTCTTTTAAGAGAAAATTCCATTCATGTTGAGGTTCGATTTGATGAAGCCTTCACTTTGGTTTCAGGATCCTCTCTGTCCGTGTAGTGCGTTGCATTTTTTGGCTTTGGCATCCATCTATTGCAAAGGCCTGGTCTGACCCAACGGCAGCACGCTGCTCAGTCTGCTTAGTGCTTTCTTCTTTTTTCTTTTTTTTTTTTGTCAAACAGTATTTTTTCAATGAAATCCCCAAGACGGGTCAGTGGCCTCACTTGTATCGGAAGCCGCTCTCTTCATTACCATTCAAATAAAGGGAAAAAACCCAATGCGAGCAATCTGTAACTAATTTCAAGTGCCAATTGAGCCTTTTTAACTTGGAAGAAGATGCGGTAAGTGAGTCTTACAGGCTCTCGCTTGACCTTTGCTACTCTTTATTAAGCAAGTCATGCTGAATCAGCTGTGGTACACAGTTCAAGATAGAAAATCAATGGGCCGTAGGATCCCAGCTCTTTCCAGTTCTTTGGAAAGTTTTTTCCAACAGTGCTGGTTGGCAGGAGAAGCGGGGAGATCCCGACCATCCTGCAGCAGCTGAGCTGCTTACAAGCTGTTACCTGGACAAGGGTGATGGCAAAGGATGGAAGTACCGGAGTATTCCACCTTCCTAATCCGCAAGGCGTTTGCTGTTGCGACGACCTGTGCACGTTGCTTAGGAATATTCTAAACTTGTGACCTCTGGAGTGAAACAGCCTTTTTGCAAAAGTGTAAAGCAAGACGTGTTATGTGCCAATGCACGTCGGTATCTCACAAGATAATCATCAGTTTAAAATAATTTCCCCACTATCTGATTCATAATTCTTTATTACAATCAATTTCTGTCAAAATGAGCTGTTGGGGATAGTAAAACATTGGAGGACTTCATTTACAGACTCTCTATATACTTTTTAACTCTTTTCTTTGTTCAAAGATTAATTTCACGTAATCCTGGAGTTTCTGTACAAGATATTTCAGTCAGGACTTTGTTTCTCTTTCTGGAAAATAGAGCTTTATGGTTCCAGTATTAACCCATCTCTGTTGCTGGGGATTTTTCAGTTCCAGGTACCAGTTTGAAGCCCCAGCATCTGACTTGAAATGCGTAGGAGAAGCAGCCCGTCCTGTTCAGAGTGTTGTAAATTAGTTCCAGTCTCCAAGAGACTGCTGTAACTAATTGACATGACCTGGAAGTGGATAAAGTCCATAACAGATCAACTTTTCCTCTGGTAATTTGACAACTAGAACCTTCCCCCCGCCCCAAGTCCTGCCTAGGCTGCATACCCCATTTGTTCTTTTCTGATGGACATAGCTTCCGCATTGAAGTGATAATGATTTTCCAGATTTCTGCTGATTTGTATAGCAGGTGCCTTAAGTTATTAATGCCAGAAGAAGGGAGAGGTCCAACATCAACAACAACAACAAAAAAAAAGATTCCTGGCAGCAACCGTCTATCAAAGTCGTTGCTTATCCAGTTACGTTGCTGCAAGCATTTGCCCATTGCTTAAAAACTTGGTGCCTCTGTACCAAATGTGTGCTTCTACCAGCTCTTCTGCAGAGATAACTCTATTTGTAAGGATAGCAGAAGTATTAATGTATAGTAGTGGTAATGACTACGCTTAAGGATGGCACTGCTTTTCGGCCAAACACTTATAAAGTCCACCGGATGGTAAAGATTAATGCTTGCCAAACCCCGGGTTGTCTCCTGTGTAGCACGTTTAAAGCGGCCAATACAGAATATCCCGGGTTCCCTTTCCAAGGGAATACTTCTGTTGAAGTTCTACAACGTCAGCGAGCCTGTGGTTAGAGCATTAAATAGACCAGGTATTCCCAAGCTCTTCGTAAAGGCTTACGGTGATGTTTGGGAAAGCTGGATGTTTTCCCAGGGTGCTATTTACCAAACCGCGCAAGTGTTCCTCCTCCTGCTTAAGAAAGACGTGCAGGAAGCTGGGTGGTTTGCCGAGTCGCTGGATCTCATTTATTTTCTACAACCGCATGGAAATTGGGAAACCTCCGTGTTGTGTGGGGTTCGACTCATGCAGAGTAAGGTGATGAAAAGGGACCTGTGCAACGGTAGCTATCAGGAGCAGGCATTTAAGTGCCTGCTTAATTTTAAAAGAATAATTTTAGGCAGTCCCTGTAGGGAGATCCATGCTGCCTTCTGCACGGGCGGTGATTTGGGGAGCTTCTTTGCTCCCAGCCCCTTCCAAGCCTGCATCCCACCCATCCTCTCCCATCCCCGCAACCACCGAGTCCGTCAGGCTCCGCAGTATTCTCACCGTGAATATAAACTCGCCAGCGGTGACTGGAGGGAGCCCAGCCTCCTATTTATTTGTGCTCCAGTGGGATCTGAACCTTGGTCTTCGAGGGTGAAAGGTTGAGGGATGCGTGCCTTGTTTACCTGTGCTTTTCAGATAACGTTTTCCTTTAATCTATTAAGCAGACGCACCATTTTGCCCCGTGGCGTACAACGGGATCACTTAACGATGCGCTTAATTACTACCAAACCATGTATGAGTGACTGATGCCAGCGGACAAGAAGAGTCGGAGCCCGGCTGTCAGCCCGGAGGAATTCAGCCAGGCTTCCCCCACCTCCCACGTTTAACAGAAACCTCTTTCTGCGAGAGCCCGCCGCGCCGTCTGCCTAATTTATGCGCAGCTTCGGTGATGGGGTAAAGCCACGTTGGATGGCTTTCCTATGAACTTTGGCTAAGGGGAAACCGGGTATTTACAAGTGGGAATGAGGAGATCCCAAACTATCCATGGATTTGAAAATCCAAATATGAGTCTTTTAAAAAAGTTATTAAAAAAAAACCCCAAAAAACTATAGATGCTATAGTTTAATTCAACCATTGCAGCCCCTGCTGCCTTTCAACAATTTTGAGGCTTTTTTTTTTCTTACCAAAGCTGTTCCTTCTGGCCGTTTGCGTGGCATCGCATACTGACGAAGGCGTTTGGACTTCATGTTTGGCACTGCTGCAAAACTGTTGTATGCATTAATCAGCCAAGGTATCCGGCTCGGTCGCATGCTGCACCGGGGCTGGTTCGCAGACACAATAGGACGGGGGAGATCCAGCACCACAGCTGCTAAACATATTTACCGTCAAATAGTTAGTCACACTGCTGGAGTTTTAATTGAATTACCTTTGACAGTGAACAGCAAACCTGGTGGGTGATCTACTAAATTTAACTGATGAATGGGCTCCCTAAAATCAATTAGCATCTAGGGCTGTGAGCATGAACACATCCCGTCGCTCTGCAGGGACCGGGGCAGGAGCAGAATGACAGCAGCAAATGTGAGACGAAGCGAAAGCATGCATCTCCTGCCGCTGCTGACCTCTGCTACCCACATGAAAGAAAAACAGGAGTCTAACAGGAGCTGAAAGAATCTGCCAGTAAATCATTTAAGCTCTGTTTTGCAGGGCTGATATAGGATGCTTCTAAACTGCTTGATTAATGCTGGGCAGTATATTAAAAGCAAGACGCAGCAGAGCAAGAAGCTACCGCCGAGCACCAGCTCTGCATCGCTGCACCGAGCTGTAAGAAATACCATCTGGTTCCTGTATTATTTTTCAGATGTTCAAGGTAACGGGTAGCCAGGAGGCATCAACTGTCTTCTGCTCTTTTGCTACAGTGGTAGGGCCCCGCCTGTAGCCGC